GCGGCGTTGGGGAGGAGACGAGAAAGAAGCGATCGAGGTGGGGGTCCAGGTTGACCCTGTGACCCCGGTGCAAGCCACGACAAAGCTCTCCTCCTCCTCTGTTACACGGGTCCTCGGCTGCTATTCCAGGCTCGATGACCTCGAACCGAGGCTACGAAACGAAGCCTAGACTCGATCCTCCGGGGGCCTAACGCGCCGTTATCGCATTACGTTCGTTTCAGCTCGAGCAATCTCGCGTCATTTACGTGCTGCCGCAATTACCCGAGGGCACGTCGCACGACACCGGGAACGTGGATAAACTCCGTCGGATTTTAGCGAAGCGAGGAATCGCGGGTACGAAGAAGCCAGGCGTTGGACTGGAAGCGCGCACGGGTGAACGAACCAAGCTGGCTGCTCGGCTCGAGGGAATAGCCACGCTCGGTACTCTTGCCCACGCGCGTTCGGGGGAGGAACGAGCCTCGGCCGGTTGATTTTGGAAGGATCTGCCGTACCCGCGGCAAACGAAAATGAACGGCGATCGACGTAATGACCGGTCTCGGGGCAGGATTTACGTGCTCTCCGACAGGATTCCGCGGATCGAGCCGGGAGTGTCGGGAGGGGAGGAAGCAGCTGGAACAGACCTGCGAAATAGCGAACCTTACACGGCAGCCTACCTACCGTAGGCACGATCGCTGGACGGTGGATCGCTCAATCGAGCGGGAGAGGAAAAAGGAGGAGGCGAAGGATCGCGGACGCTATCCGCGGTTGAAGAGGCATGGACGACGGTGCAAGATGCTCGAAGACGAGGAGAGAGGAACGAACCGCGGGGAAACGTGGAAAGAAGCTGGGTGGATACCGGAGAGAAGAAATGGGGAGGTGGAAAGGGAGCAAAAAGCGAGGGAAAGAAGAAATCCAGGAAGTAGTCAGTTGGTGAAACACGAGCAAAAGGTATACGGGAAGCCGGTGACTTGCGTGCTTCCAGCTTGCACGAGCGAATTACTCGACCGACGCCGGCAATCTCGAACGACTTCCTCGAGCTGGGATCGTCTCTTAACACTTTTATGAACGGACTGGCTCGACGAGTGCCTATCGACTTCGAACGATTTATTCTCCGGCGGATTGATTTACGAACACTGCGCGCCTCTCGCGGAAAACGAGTTATCGGCCCTGCGATCGTTCGCCCCCTTCGATTTATACCGTTGACTTTCGCCGATATAAAAGGTCCTGCGGAGCATAGATCGGCGCAGAAAGGTCGCGAGACAAGCCCGCTCTTTGACAGCGAATCAATTTACAGCGAGAAAATTTCAATTTCCATTCCATTCCATTCGCTGTACGTCTATGCTTTCCTTCTATGCTTTTGCCTTCTTTACCAACGCCCTAATGGCGCGGAGAGACTGACCTCCAGATGCCGTTTAGTCTCTCGAACGTTTAATTATTCTCCAACGTGGAGTTACTTGGAGCGATCGCGAGCTCGAAGGGTACGAGAAGGAGAATCCACTGACCGGATATCCATTGCTTGCGTTCCAGATGGGCTCGTCTGCGATCGGCACGATGGCGGCTGTGGTCGCTGGCGTCACGCTCCTGGCTTTCGTCACCGTCGCTCACGCTGCACTGGGTGAGTACCTCTACGCGCCTTGCCCTATTAATCTCCGGGACGTACACGACCGGTTACCAGGAAAACCGATTTTCCATCTATCCCTGTCGTTTCTAAGGCCTGGTCGCGTTCACGTTTCAGCCAGGACAGCGTTCGAGAAGCTGACGGACTACGATTACCGAGGAACGACCTACTACAGCGTGAGGAACCTGTCGCTGTACGAGTGTCAGGGCTGGTGCCGCGAGGAGGCCGAGTGTCAGGCGGCCGCGTTCTCGTTCGTCGTAAATCCTTTGGCGCCGATGCAGGACACCCTGTGCCAGCTGCAGAACGAGACAGCGGCGACGAATCCCGCGGCACAGCCGCAGAGAGCGGCCAACATGTACTACATGACGAAGCTTCAGATCAGATCAGGTGAGCAGCCCCCGACGACACCCAGCGAAGCCTGGTACCCCGAGACGGCACGTACGATGGAGCGTGGAACTGCCTGTAAATGCTATTAGCCGCGTTTTTCCCTGCACCCGTGACGCCCGTGTGCACCTGCCTAGGAGACTCGACCTTGAGCAGCTTAAACGCCGCGGCATAATCGAGCCACCAGCACGACTCGGTTAATGAATGTTAATACCCTCGCACCTCCGGCTGGCCGTCCCTCGAGCCGGCAAACTCTTTCGAGAGGCCGGTCAGAGAACAAAGGAGGCTGTAGTAGACTGTAGTAGGCTGTAGTAGGCCGACAGGCAGGCAGGTCGAAGAAAAATCCCGCGATACGAGCGGAACTGACGAGGGAAACAGTCGAGAGGTGGGACGAGGCGCGATAATCCGGGTTTAAACGCTGGCGACCGAGTCGTCTGGGAACAGGTAGCGCAAATAAACCGAGAAGCCGGTAGCCGTTGCACCGGTGCAGGGTTACTCCATCGCCCCGAGCTGCCAACCGAACTTAACCTCTACTCCCTGCCAACGACCCCGCTTCGCGCTTTCTTTCCGCGAACTTCCCTCGAATCGCGACCAAGGAGCTAGAGAGTCACGGGAATTGGGGGAATTAGGGGAGTTACGGGGAAATCCTGATCGTCGAGAACCACGGAAACGCAAACGGAAGGAGGAACAACGGTGGGACCTTTCCCGGTAGTCGGTTTGAACGCACGGGGCAATTTTCCATCGTCCATCACCGCCGAGAGACGAGCGTGAAGGAGCTGCCAAACCCTCGGACGCCGACACAAAAGCCGCACCCTCGGTAGGCGCAGGCGGTCGGGTTTTCAGCCGAGACAAGAAGGTGTAGTACGATTTGCCAAAGAGGGGAGCCGGGTGACGGCAAACAATGAGAGATCTACTGGTACCTTTCGGGTGGTGTGAAGGATGCTTTAAGCACGGTCGCCGCTGTAAACAGGTACCTGCAGGCGAGTCCGAGGTGTCGAAAAGATCCCAAGGGGGTCTAAGAAACCCCTAATATTGGTTTAACGAGCCTGCTGGTACCGTCGGTCCTTCCAGCTATCTCGGCACGGTCGTAAAACTGACGAGCCCTCGGACACCTCCGGGGACACTCTGCTCCTGGGTCAAGCCGCGGGGAGCAACGTGGAACTTTGAGAAAGGTTCCCGGTTTCCTTGAAATTCGCCTTCTCGTGCGCAGGCGCCTGCTTGGGCCTGCGACTTTCACGGTTCCGTTCGCAGTGACACCCCGTCTGTAGGAAATTACTCGAGACGTTCTAGCAAACGACGTCGTTATTCTCGCAAGGGTACAACAGGGCTCGTGAAGCCGGCAGAGGATTCGGAGACGTGTCTCGTTTCGAAGACCACCTATTAGGATTAGTGGTTTATAATCGTAAAATAACCACGATACGCATAATTCTCTTTAAGTTCTTTTATTGCTCGAAGAAGCGTAAGGTTAGGCGAGCTCCGGTTACCGATAGGGCGGCGCTAGTGTCGCGCACGTAGCAGCGATAGGCTTGATATTCGCGGCAGATTGACAAAGGCCCACCGTTAACACTAGAACTACCGATCTTTAATGGGGAGCTAACTATAACGTGCACAGATTATAGTAATTTCAGCGGTACGACGAACACGAGTGAATATATCGATTGCAGTTCTTTCTCAATACGAGTTGATACCAATTTTATTCTTAAAGCAGGTGTATGTGTTCGGTGATTGCGAAAAGGAAGATTCTGGGACCAGTCGTTTTGACTGGCTTGGTAGTTGTGGTGTTAACCCATTCGAGACGGCGATTTATTTCGAACACGGTCCCTAGGAGCGACTACTCAGAATAACTGCTAAATGCTCATTGTCATTATTGCACACGCGGTGTGCAACCGGTCTTATAGCCTCGGAAATCAATTGCACACACGTGCAATCGGTCTCGAATGGGTTAAAAGGACGAGAGAGTTTTACGCGAAAGACGTGTGGTAGGGACGAAAGAATATTGTATCCATCGGAGTAAAATATAATCGGCCATCGAGTAATAGACTTATCTAACCCAACCCTCTATTCTCTTTTCTACTCGTTTACGTTCCTCTTTTAATACACATCCATTAATATAAGTGTACTATATTACCATGAAAAATTATACATACTTGACTCTGCTACCGAAATAAAATATTTCCGCCTCTAGTTATCACTGAAAATCAATACCAACATAACCTAAACAGCAAGATTTAAATCTCACCTTACAGAAGGTACATCAATCTTTGAGTGTTTCTCTACAGCGACTGACCATCTCTTGACGCGGTTCGCCTAACCTCAAATTCTTTCGAACGACGCGTATTGGGATTATGAATTTATACTTGTAAAATAATTACGATATATAATTCTCTTTAAATTCTTGTATTACTCGAAGAAGGTATATCTAAGTATCTTTGGCTGTTTCTCTAGAGCGACTGACGAGTTCTTGACGCGGTTCGCCTAACCTCAAATTCTTTCGAACGACGCGTATTGGGATTATGAGTTTATATTTGTAAAATAATTACGATATACATAATTCTCTTTAAATTCTTGTATTACTCGAAAAAGGTATATCTAAGTATCTTTGGCTGTTTCTCTAGAGCGACTGACGAGTTCTTGACGCGGTTCGCCTAACCTCAAATTCTCACTTAACATTTGTGATAGCATCGGATTAATAAGTGGAAAGGAACTTTTGATTCCGATTATATTTCATATTTCTTGGTGATATAAAATAAACGGAGGCTGGAAGTCTTCTGTGATGCATTCTGTGGACTGTCAAAAGTGTTTATAGGTCCCTGTGACAACCTATTGCATCACTCAACCCAGCTTCGAGAATTGATAAGCTAGATGGATCTCGATGCAGGGTGACACCCTCCAAATAAAGATTGCTCTCACACGTTTATACAAACATACCTTCCCAGTATTCAGAAATTACAAATCCAAACAATGATTTATTCGCACCTCAGTCCTAGAATGATTTTTGCCCGCGACGAAGCTTATCCGTTGGACAACGCGTTCCTCGGCCGCGACTTCCGTTCGAAATCCTTCCTCTCTCAAAATAACCGGGAACAGACGAAACAGACCGCCGTCATCGAGGTCTCGACGCGTTAAGAATTCGCACGGGCGCGGTCGATCGGCCTCCCGACGACGGATCCCAGCGCGTCAGGAGTTGGCTCGCGCGGACATTTTACGCAACCAGCCCCGTGTCCCGTATCTCTCTCTCCGCGTTTAATTCGAGAAAATAAAGCAGCCCGCGAGCGGCGATTAATTTTAGCGGGTTCGCGTGAGTCACGGATAACGGAGTTCAACGCCGGAGTTCACTGTCAACGAGAATATTTCCAGCGTATCGAAATCGCGTTTCCCCGTCTCCGGCGTGGTCCGCGCGCACTCGGCGCGGCCGAAAATAGTCCGGCGACTGAAAACAGCCGGCCAACGTATTTTTAAAGATTCCGAGCGCAATATTCGGCACGCGATCGGAATTTCGCCCGTGCCCGATTCTCCTCGCCGTTGGGAAACCGCTGCTACTCGCCATATCGAAGGATCGAAGTCCGATACCTCGAAGATAGTCCCTCGGTCGTCCAATTCGTCTCGATTCGTGGCGCGAAAGAAACGTTGGATGTCGGAGAAAGGATCGGGTCGTGGGAGAGAACGCGGTATATCGAGAGGGGTATTTCGGTGGTCGTCGATCGGACGAGATGAGGAATTCGCACGGGCGTGGTGAATCATCGGTGTCGGAGTGACGTGCGTCGGTTCGTTGGCACGGGCCCGGTCGTGGTGGACATTAGCGCCGGTTTCGAGGGCGGAACAAAAGAAATTGGAACGCGCGAGAGGTGCAGGAGGAAAGCGTATTCTCGTTTCTCGGCCGAAAGTCGCGCGGTCGTGCGTCATCGCGCGAAAGACGCGGCGGATCGCTCCGTCTGCCAAGTCACATGTCTTCGACTCGTGATTTCGGCATCGGACCGCGCGCTTCAACCCGTGCTCGTCTCGCCGCCGTCACGCTCGCGTGATCCACCGACCGAGAAATTCGCCACACTTCCTCGGATCGGCCGGATATAGCGTAACTGTTCCTCGATCCGCCATCCGTGCCTCGAGCTTGCGTCGCGATCCCGCGTTCCTTCGTTTCCCTCTTTCTCCGTCTTTCACCTATCATCTCGCTATGGATGTCCCTGGTGTGCACCGACTGCGATTTTCCCCGATTTCTCGCCATTTCGCGGGTAAATGGGTCGACCTTGAGGTGACCTTGGCTGTGGGCGCGCAACGCGCGTCCTTACCGCGACGAAGGAATCGTCGAGAATGGACCCGGGTTGCGACACGTCTCGCGAAATAGACGTTTTATTAGTAGAAACATCGGAATTCGTAATGTCGCTGCGATCGGAGGCTGCCAAATTAGCCGCGGCCATTCCGATGCTGCATTAATTCGGTCTCGAGTGGTTACTACAGGTGTCGGTATATCAGACTCGCGTGGCATACGCGAGCGTTGCGCAAGGAAGCACTCCCTGCAGCTTGCATGTGCTTGGTCAGGTGTGCGAACGTCGCGTCTGCGGTCAGGCGTAGCCACGTGTTCTGCCTCTTTATAAACAAACGCGATTGCCGCGTCGTAAAATTGCGCGCCATGTATAGAGAGAAGTTCTATATACAGGAAGTATCTCTAGGATACTCTTCCCGACCTTTACCCCGATCGCTCTTGTTTCCCAGAGAACGTTTGCCTGCGACCATGGTCCTTCGAGCGCGTGCCGAACAAGATGATCCGGGGCCTGGACAACGCTCTCATCTACACATCGACGAAGGAGGCCTGTCTCGCGGCTTGCCTCAACGAGCACCGGTTCACCTGTCGATCCGTCGAGTACAACTACGTCACTCTGCAGTGTCATCTGAGCGACTCCGACCGGAGAACCACCGGCCAATACGTGCAGTTCGTGGACGCCCAGGGGGTGGATTACTTCGAGAACCTGTGTCTGAAAGGTAACATTCAATGGCGAATCTTATATAAGGTTAGACAGGTGGATATCCTCATCGGAGGATAAGAGCGGTGGTTTAAATGGTCTGAGCGATGCAAAAGGGGTTACGTTAAGCGAGAAACGGGGGTTTTCAGGGAAAG